CCCAGCCCTGTGCCCCCAGGACAGTCCCTGTCCCCTCTCCCAGCCCTGTGCCCCCAGGACAGTCCCTGTCCCCTCTCCCAGCCCTGTGCCCCCAGGACAGTCCCTGTCCCCTCTCCCAGCCCTGTGCCCCCAGGACAGTCCCTGTCCCCTCTCCCAGCCCTGTGCCCCCAGGACAGTCCCTGTCCCCTCTCCCAGCCCTGTGCCCCCAGGACAGTCCCTGTCCCCTCTCCCAGCCCTGTGCCCCCAGGACAGTCCCTGTCCCCCGTCCCCTCTCCCAGCCCTGTGCCCCCAGCCAGGCTCTGGCACTGCAGTTTCACGAGGAGCCTTGCACAGACCTCGCCCTGATTACGGAGTCATCCCAGTGATGTTGTAAATTATGGGTGAGTTTTATATAATTCTTTTGGTATGTGTTATTATGGCATGTAAAACTTTGTCTTTGGAGTTGCAGTGAATGATGTAAGATCTTTGTTTGGCGTTTGTCAGGATAACTTGAACCAGTGCACATTTAACAAAGGCACTGTCAGAGGGTCTGTCCTGCCCACAGCTGTGGTAATACAGACAAACTCCATCAGCTTTGTTAAATTCCCAGTAAGTTAAAAGGCCAACAGGCAGGTTTATGTGACAGTGCTCAAAGCCAAGCATGCAAGGAGTAGGAAAAGTCTCATCCCAGGGCAGCACCACGGCTGGGCTCCAGGGATGGCTCACTGTGGGATCAAGCGCTGCTTCTCCCATGGGCCTGTGGCCGTGTGGAGCGCTGTGCCTGATGCAGATCAGGGGCAGCAGTTCACAAATCTGTTCCTTTATGTCCTCCAGCGTGTGGCCCCAGCCCCTGCTGGCTGTGTCCTGCTCGTGCTCACTGTAAAGATGAAATGTTCTTTCACTTGGTGTTTGGGGTGTTTTGCTGTGACACTCATTACTCCAGCCATGTTTGTTTATTCTGCGTGCAAACCATTAATTAATTTGTCTCTGTGCAGCCCAGCGAGGCAGGGGAGAAACATTATCACTTTATAGATAAGGAGCAGAGGCACAGACAGATTCAGTCAGGAATGTCAATTATCTGGGGTGTTCAACCTCAGATGCTCAAGAGCTGATAATCCCCGTGCCCCTGGGACTTGTTTGCTGCCTTTGGAGATGCCGTGGGCACTGCCAGGGCAGGACTGCAGAGGCAGCTGCTGCCTGGGCACTTCCCAGGGCACCAGACCACAGACAGCAGCCAGGGGGAGGTGGGGAAGCCACAGAAGCCCAGAAGGGGCTGTAAAGATCCTCTGGCCCAGCCCTGCCCGGCAGGGACCCCTCCCCTGCCCCAGGGCTGCAGGAGAGCACAGGCAGCCCCAGCTGCACAGCCCAGGCTGAGCTCTCCAGCCTCTGGGCTTGCTTCAGCTTCGCATTTGCCAGCTCCCAGCCCATAAATGAGACCCGAGAATGGCTATGGGAACTTTCACTTGCCAAATTCCAAGAGTATTTATATCACTTAATCGATAATTTGCATTGATTTATTTGCACTAAGTAACTCCTTGAGGTCTGGGTAATAGATAAGGGTGTGCATGGTGCTGTACAAACACATCATAAATAAATGCAGCTTGCAAATCAATTGCAAGGTATTAATGATTAATCTTCTCATAGTAGAATAATGTGATGTCTTTCCATTATCGATCTTTAAAAAAAAATCTGACCTAAGAGGTTTCAGTCATTTATTTGAGGAAGGCTGCCCTTTAAGCCAGACCTTACACTTTTAAAAGGTCACAGGGTTTAAATATCATGTTTCCTCACAGAGCAGCACTCCCTGAGGGGTTTGGCAGCACCTTCCTCAGAACACATCATGGTCAGGTGAGCCATGGGGCCAGGGCTGGGCTCCTGCAGGGCATTTCCCTGTCCCACCCTGGCTGCAGGTAGGAATGCACAGGGCTGCAGTGGTTACCCCAGCCTGGTGCATTAGCACAGCTGAGCACAGCCTGGGCAGGGCTGGCTGTGCCAGGGCAGCCTGGGCAGGGCTGGCTGTGCCATGGGCAGCCTGGGCAGGGCTGGCTGTGCAGGGGCAGTGCTGGCTGTGCCAGGACAGCCTGGGCAGGGCTGGCTGTGCCAGGGCAGCCTGGGCAGGGCTGGCTGTGCCATGGGCAGGGCTGGGGCAGTAGGGGCAGCCTGGGCAGTGCTGGCTGTGCCAGGGCAGGGCTGGCTGTGCCGGGGCAGTGCTGGCTCAGCAGGGACAGCCTGGGCAGGGCTGGCTGTGCCATGGGCAGGGCTGGCTGTGCCAGGGCTGGCTGAGCAGGGCCCAGGGGCTGCACAGCCCCCTGGTGCCCCTGCACACTGAGGGACCCTGCAGAAAAGGCTCCAGGGGCTGTGGGGGCTCAGGGATTGCCCAGGCAGGGAGGGCACGGGCTGGCAGGAGCAGCACCCATAACCCTGACTGCTCTGTGGTTTCCTTGGCTCTCTGCTCTGCTCACTCCACCCCAATTATGGGAATGAGATCTGCTGATTGAAACTCCCCAGAAAAATCTCATTATGTTATCTAATGCGAAACCTTTGGGGTTAATGCAAAATAATTTCAGCAGCTCTGTGGCAGGTGGGTTCTCAAGTGTTGCCACTTGTTCAAAATGCAGTAATTGTTCTTTTAAATTAAGAACGTAAAAAAAAAACCAACAACAAAAAACCAAAAATAAAACCCCACACCTTTAAACAACAACGAAAGTTCTGCTTTTGTTTAACAAGAAAAGAAGTTTAATTTTTAAAGATCACTCTATATTATTAACTTGCTTAATTATCAGAAGGAATGGTTGGATGAGCAGACAATTAAAACAAGGGGAAGCTCAGAAGGAAAAGTGCATCACTGTATTAGAGAGACAATGGGGGAAAGTAGAACCATTTCAAGTACCATGTGAAGGAAACCATTTGGGAAGAAAACAGGATTAATTAAGTTTTGAACCAGTTGATTTTGTTATCTAAAAATATTTCCTAGATTAACACCGTTACACACTCATGCATGAGGTAATGTCTGAGTTCTCCAGCAGCAGGGTGAAATGTGGGTGCAGATAAAAGCTCTCAAAGCAGCAGGGAGCCCTGAGGCTGAGCTCAGACCTGGGCTCTCTCTGCTCTCCTGTCCTGCAGCTCGGGGCTGGCCTCAGTGCAGGCACTGCTGCTGTCCCTTCCCTTCCCTTCCCTTCCCTTCCCTTCCCTTCCCTTCCCTTTTGCTGGGGTTTTCTTATGGGACCCCTGAGCCTCTGCCAGGAGCAGCTGAGGTGACACCAGGCAGGGCTGAGAAACCCCGGGGCAGGGAGATTCACCCTGCCCCAGCTGCTGAATTTAGGTGAGACAGGCCAAACATCACTGGGGAAAAAAATAGGCCTACGAGTGCTTGAAAGTAATTTTCCATACGTGGTAATAAAGACTCTTAAATTTCAAATCATTAATAATGATCTTTGAAGGGAACCCTGTAAGTTGTCTCCTAATTCCTGATGAAATAGAATAATTTATTACATCAATTTCTCTGATTAATGTCAAATGTGTTTCAAATTTGGGTTTTCCTTTAATATTTAACTTTCCCTTGAGAGGAGCTGCAGAAGGTGGCTGAGTGCCCCACAGTGAGGTGGTGTGTCCTCAAAGCAGGGTGAGATCTGCTGGAGCTGGCCAGCAATAGAAGCACGGAACAGCAGCAAAGCCAGCCTGTTTCAGGAGCTGACAGGCATGGACCAGGGCCTCAGCTCTGCTCACCCTGCCTGGGGAGAGAGTGTCTTAAACACTTATTCTGTGAGGTGGAGATTTTTTGTTGTCAAGGACATTTCCCCAAAAATTTCTGAAAAAGGCCAAAGCTGGAGTCACTCAGGATAAATTGCATGGCAGGTCTTTTCCCTAAGAAATGAATTTATTTTAAATAGGCTTTCTACTGTACTTATATGTCATTTTTACAGAGGCAGAGTCAGACAAAGCCATGGTGGTTTCAGTGCTGGTGTTACATCAGGAGGAGACCGAGCTGCAGAGTTTAGAGCAGCCATTCCTGAGCTGGGAAAACTCACCTCCCTTTGTTCCTTCTGGCAGCAAGCTGAGGCACAGGGAACTGGAGCACCCATCTCTGCTGCTCTGGGGCTGGCACCCAAGGTGCCCCTCGCTGCTTCAGGGGCACAGGGACAGGAGAGTGTGAGTCCAGAAGGGTCCCTGTGCCAGGGGAAGCTGAGCCCTGCTGGGCAGACAGCCCCTCCAGTACCTGCAGTGACAAAAAACCAGAGCCCAGACAGCAGAGTTTGCTTAAGAGAGAATTATTTATTGGAGGATAGGAGGTTGTTACGTACAGATTCTGTCCTGCAAAAGTCTCCTGGTCAAGGATATGTCAGGGGGACATGAACCCATGGGGCTGGCCCTGCAGAGATACTCAGACACAGCACAGCCCTGCCAGGCCTGGCTGCACGCTGGGCTCAGCTGGGAGGGCAGGGTACCTCAGCATCCCTGGGCTGGCACAGCTCCTGCACCCCTGGGCTGGCACAGCTCCTCATCCCTGGGCTGGCACAGCTCCTCGCACCCCTGGGCTGGCACAGCTCCTCATCCCTGGATTGTCACAGCTCCTCATCCCTGGGCTGGCACAGCTCCTGCACCCCTGGATTGTCACAGTTCCTGCACCCCTGGATTGTCACAGCTCCTCATCCCTGACTGGGCACAGCTCCTCATCCCTGACTGGGCACAGCTCCGGCATGCCCAGGAGAGGGGCAGCAGGGGCCCTGCCCCTCCCTGGGCAGTCCCCAGGCTGGCAGTGATCTGGCTCCCACCGTGCCAGCAGGGCTGAGCAGGAGCCTGCAGAGACACAGCCATGCTGAGGTAGCATGGGCAAACTCCAGCTGAGCAGGGAAAGAAGAGAGGTCTGTGTGGCACAGAGAGGAGCTGTCCCCTCTCTGCTCAGCCCCAGCCAGGCCAGGAGCAGCCAGCTGTGCCAGGGGCTCCCAGTGCCCCAGGCTGCAGGGCTGCCCTGCTCCTGCCCTGCAGCTGGGGTGCTCTGCCCAGCCCCGAGGGCTCTGCAGGTGGAGCCGGCTGTGTCAGAAGCTGCTGGCAGGGACTGGCAGCTCCTGGCAGCCCTGCTGGAGGGGCAGGCACAGCAGCAGGGGCAGCTGAAAGGCATCCCAGCCCTGGCAGTGCCAGGGGCAGGAGCCCGACCTGCAGGTGCTCAGAGCTCCCAGGAGCTCAGGGCTGGAGCCACAGCAGCCCCTGGGCCGCTCCTGACTGCAGCTGTGCAGTGCCTGCACTGCCCCTGCCCTGGGGCACAGCACAGCAGCCTGAGCAGTGCCCCCGGCTTTGACTGACAGACATCCACACTGACCTTCCCCCTGCATTTGGCAGGTTTCTCAAAGGACGGGATTAGCCAGGAGAAAATCTAACTTCCTAATGTATGGGTGCTGAAACCAGTATTCTGGAGTCTGATTCCTCAGTCTGGTCCTCTGATGAAGCACACTCTTGTCTTAACTTTGCTGGCTGGGGCAGAAGATTTCCTTCACTCTGTGAAGTCACTGAACTCTAACTTTCCTTATTAAATCCAATTTGTGGCTCCAGAGCCTCCATGTAAAACCCGCTCTGCTCATAGATACATAACCTTTTGTCTGCTACCAGCACTCCAGCAGGATTATTCCCCTTTCAGTCCTCAGTACCTGAAGGAAAAAATATTGTTGGACCCGTTTTGTCAGAAATCTAAGGTAATTGGCACAAACATCTGTTTCTGGCTCATCCAGCACCACATCTCTGTCCTCATCCCCAGCCAGGAGCAGCCTGTGTTAGCTGGGTGGACCAGAAAGCTTTGGAGCAGGAGATGTGGCAGTGAATGCTCACAGCTCACAGCACAGGGCTGGGTCAGACTGCGGGCTCAGAGCGGGACTGGAGAGAAGAAATTCCCCCCAACTGCAGGAGAGCTGCAGGCCTGAGCTACTGGGGATGGGGAGGCACAGGACTGCTGGAGCCACGAAGCAAAGCAGCAGAGCTCCAGGGCAGGAGACACCCAGAACCAGCTGGGCTGCAAATGTGCCTGCTCAAAACCAGGCTTTGTGTTCCTAAGGCTCCTTGCCTGGAACATGTCCCCGCAGGAGTTTGATGTTTGGGGATGGGAGGGGCAAGAAAATATTCCCCAATTTAGTTGAAGGGAAGAGATGATCCAGACCCACTCAGTTATCAAAACCTCTGGAGCAATCGTGACCACATCTTCAGTTTTTAAAAGTTTTTTAAGGATTTCTGCAGCCCTGGATGTGCTGCCACTTTGCTCACCCTCTGGAAAGGGGCGAGCTGGGGAAGCCTGGCCCCTCTAAGAGCAGGCCAGAGCTCTTCACTTGCTGTTTGCCATGAAACAACAAACCTGGAGGTTTGATCTGAAACAATCTCCTTCCCTCCTCTCCCAGCCCTGACCTTAAAGCTGGTTTTATTCCAGCTCGGTCAGGTGGGAGGAACACGGAGCAGACAACAGAATATCTCATTTTCATTTCAGCCTAACATTGAGGGGTAGATTTTTGCCTCCATCTCCATTATTGTCTTCCAGAACTGGTTCTTCGGCCACCCAAGATGAAAACTTGTCCCTGCTAGGACTTCTTGGAACACCTTGATGAGTGCAGCTCACCTGTCAGAGCTGCCTGGATGCTGCAGATGAGCAAAGGCTTCCTGGGAAGTTTTCTCCAGAGAGAAAAGGCAGGAGAGAGGGATCTTCTCCCTCCAGAGCAAAGGTATGAGCATCCCCAGGAGTGCTGAGCATCCCCCAGGCTGAGCCTCCATCCAGCAGAGCTGCCAGAGCTCAGGGGGCACACAGGGAGCAGGGGTGGCCAGGGCACAGAGGGGCAGCTCTGGGGCCAGCAGCTCAGCATGGCACAGCATGGCACAGCCCAGCCCAGCCCAGCCCAGGGCTCACCCCAGGCCTGGGGACACCCGAGGCTGTGTCTGAGTATCTCAGCTGGGCACGCAGGACCAGCTCTGACAGTGCCCAAAAGCAAAGAAGGTTTGAATTCTGTATGAATGGCGTTACAGGGAATGACTGTCACACAGAGAGATTCTGAACATTAGTTACAAAGAATTTTGAAGGTTTTGTAACTTCATAATTTAATTGCCAACCCTTTTCCCTTCAAACGAACCATGGATGTACAGCATACAATCAAACAAGCTTTTTTAAAAAGTACATCTTAATATAAATAGTTTATTCAGTGCATGGTTGTGTATACAACAAATAATAAACGACTTTTTTGTACCAGGCAGAAAGCTGCCTGTACAGAACTAATTCAGTTTTGGAGCACAGAATCCAACGATGATTAATGCACAAAATCTGACACATCATGCAACTCTATGCCAATATTCCAACTTTCTCCCATGCAACAGACATGATGACCTAAATGGAAACCTAACTACATTTTTAAACAATTGTTTCCAATAGCATGTATAAGTATATGTTGTTTAGGGGTAACCTGTCCTAACGCTTCCTCCTACACAATATTCACTTGCCTGTTACAGTGAAAGGACTTTTACAAATAAGACGTTTCTTATAAAAAAATTAAGTCACCTTAATTCCACAGTTTCTGTCTTTAGAAAAGAAGCCACAACGATAGTTTAACATGACACACAAAATGGAATTAAGAGAAATCTACACTGGAGGATAATTTTATCCCTTTCTGTTAACTTCCACTTGGGATAACAAAACAACTCAATTCCTACAGACTGGGGTTAGCACAAGAACTTTACCAGAAACTACAAATCTATAAAAATTTATATTTCATTGTGTTTAAAACCACAAGAACACTGTTTGCTTGAGCCTGAGACACCAACTCTCAGTTCCAACCCTGAATTTTGAATTATTTTTTTAAAGACATAGCTTTAAAGACCCATTGGAGTTCAGAAATCAAAAAGTTGCACTATTCCAAATTAAAGGATACATTTTTTTATCAAGCCTTAGATATAAAACGGTAAGCCAAGGAAACAACAGAGTTTACGTATTTGTTTTTCGTTTGCCCCTATAAAACATACAAGCATTAAAATTTCCTTTGAAGAGCAAAAGTGGTCTTTTTCTGAGTTGGAAAGCAAATTCTTATCAGCAGTGAATGCTGTGAAATGTTTTAGTTTCGTTTTCCACAAAGCATAGGAGAGAGAGAGAAAAAGAGAAAGAAAAAGTGAGAGAGAGAAAGAGCCGGACATTTCTTCTCGGAGGTTTCCCGCAGCTGTGTCTGCTGCTGTCCTTGCCTTGCCTGGCGTGTGCCCACGCACACTCTACATGCCTGGGGTTATCCTCTGCCAACAGAAGATCTAATGGCTGATAACGGGTGACCTATGGAGCTCGGTGCCTCGTCCTGGGCAACTGAAGGTTTGGATGAAAGACTGAGAGTAAGAATTCAACTGCATCCCGAGGTAAGGTTCTGTTAGAGAGCACTTGGCTGGCCTCAACCTGGCTACGTTGACTCGTTTTGGCTCATGGATTTACCCCCATTTAGCACTCCTGAAACGCTTCTGCTCTTTGTTGGGGTCCCACTTCCAGACCTGGAGAACTCTGTGAGATCGTGGAGGGAAGGCTCTTTGTACATGGCCACTGCAAGGCAAGAGAGAGCAGAACGTCAGCACGGCTGGGGCTGGGGCAGGGCCAGCCCCGGCGCTGGGACTGCTCAGCCAGCACCCTGCCCTGGGAGGAGAGACAACACCCAGGGCAGAGCCCCCTTCCATTCCAAACACTCCCTGAGAGCCTCTCCAGTGCACTGGCATTTTACAGGAGGGGAAAACCACTCCTCTCCATCCCACAGCACTGACACAGCCCTGCAGGACACACCCGAGCTGACCCAAACCAGCATTCCTTAGGAACAGAGAAGAGGCCCTGGCAGGAGTTGTGATTTAACTGTTGGGACTCTGCTGAGATGAACACCACGGAACAGAACGTGACACTCCTGTTATATAAGCAGCTGGACAGGTCCAAATGTATGCACAGGAATTAAACACAAGGCAGTATCAGTTCAGATAAATGGAGCAAACCCCAGCAATTACCTTTTAAGGGTTTTGGAAGAAAGTGTGCTGCAGGTTTATTCTTCTTCACGTGGTTTCCTTTCATTATTTCTCCTTCCTTGTTAAGACCCAAATACCAACCCCGGCCAGACTGCTGCTGTCTGTAGATCATTGAGGAGTATGTCACATAGTAGTTTTCAAATACTGATTCTTTGAACTTGCATTCAGGTGTAAAATGCTCCTGTAAGAAAGCAACAGATCAATACGTGCAGGGCCAAATCCCACATCAGTTAATGAAAAAGCATCAACATCCAGCACTTTCTGAACGGGCAGAAGTCATCCCTCTCATCCTCAACCATCCAGTTATGAAACGTGGGTCCTAAAAGCATTAACAAAGGAGTAACACAATTTGAAACCTGTGAAATGATGCTGTGAGCAGCTCTAAGTAGAATGTAATAAGATCTTTGTGAGCAATGAGCAGAAAGTCAGAGGATTTATTGATTGATGCAGCCAAGGGATGTCAGGCAGACCCAGAGTGTTCACCCTGGGAGCAGCTGTGGTGCAGCCCTGCAGGCAGGAGGAGCCCACAGAGCGCTCTGTGCACTGACTGCTGCCCTCAGCTGTGTAAGGATGAGGGCAGAGCCGTGATGCCAGCAGTGAATGGTTGTCTCTCCCTAACCCTGACAGCCCTGGCTCCTTCGGCCTCGGACCCTCACAAGTCCTGCAACGTCTCACCTATGGACTCTAGAGCATGCAGGAGGAAGGGTCTGGCCTGGCCATGCAGATTTATTAACACCTCAGTGGTGCCTCAGTGCAGCACACAGCAGCCAGATGTGTGCTGGCCTTCCCCAGCTGCAGGGGAGCTGTCCTCGAGCTCACAGGACCCTGCAGAGCATGGCAGAAAGGAGGAAAAATTGTGCTTGGATAATGATTGTAATTTTGATTTTAAAATATCACAGGAAATTAAATGGCTCAGGAGCTGAAGATATTCTTATCTAGTTTCTAAAATATTCTCATGTGAGAAAAGGATGGCATTAGGAAAAAAAAGAACCCACCATTTTGCATTTTCTGCACATCTTTTGCCATTTTGTCTTTACAAGAGAAAGAAAAAAGCTCCCATTCTCTGACTGGCATTTGCTTCAACAAAGAATGTGAAGCAAGCAATTTTCTTCTTTTTTTCCTCTAAGCTAATTGGTTGTTATTTAGTTAATTGACAATTGGTTTCAATTGCTGTCAAATAGGGACAGTCATTGCATTTTTGTAAGATTTCTGCATAAAAGCCTTCCCTCACTGTTCTCTGCCCAGCACCAGCCATGGTAACAAAGACTATTGCAAGGGTATCATCCAATTAGAGCAAAATGGAAAACTACAGTGCTCCCACTGGCAGATTACGGTTTATGTACAGTAATTTGGAGCTGTTTTGGGTACAAAAGGCTCGCTTGTACACAGCAGCAGAGGGTCAGACTGCAAACAGAACCCGAGCATCTGCTCTGGAGCTCTCAGGGAGCAGCAGCCCAGGGTCCCTGACACGGACGGGACAGAAGGAAAGACCCAGAAGCCCTCCCTCACTCCTGCTTTCCCCTCAGCTCTCCTGGAAGTGCTGTGCTCCTCTGAGTTTGCAGCTGAGCCCATGCCCAGCCTGGCAGTGCCCTGCAGGTGCAGCCCAGTGCCAGGCACCCCAGAGCCCCCCAGGGAAATGCATCCCCCCTGGAAATCCCTCCTGGAGCACCCCGGGATCCCGCAGGAGCTGCAGGGCTGGATCCTCCCCACAAACACAAAGTCACCTGTCCATAAGAGGCTCAGTTAAGACGCATTCCTCACTCCCTGCAGGTATTGGGCACTAAGGCAGAGCCCCTGGTCCCCTGGGCTGGCAGGGACCCGTGCCCCTTTCTCTGGCTGCAGCTCTGCGAGGGGCACTGGCACCCCCTGGCAAAGCTGCAGCCCCTGGCAGCTCTGCCTGCCCTGCACAGGCAGCAGCTGGGGGCTCAGGGAGAGGACAGCAGATGGGCACTGCAGGGACAGGGCCTCTGAGCCTGGCACGGGCCAGCCCAGCTGAGCACACCGGCAGGATGCAGGGCCAGCAGCTGCGGGGTGGCCACTGGGTCACCTCTGCTGAAAATTCTTCATCAATACCCTGAGCAAGAGCTCCAGTCAGCAGAGGCTGTGCCCCAGTCAGCACCAACGCTTCCCAGCTCACAGCTGGGAAGATTTACAATGGCAGATTTACAAGCACAAGTGTTGGTTATTCCAGGCCAGGTTTCTCCTGTCTCTCAGCTGTCCTTCCAGTCCATCCTTGCAATGAAAACAATGCAAATGAGTTCTGGAGAGTCCAGCGTTATCGATACATTATTACACGAAACCGATGAAAAGAATTCTTTCTGTGAAACACTATTTCCATCTCTGCTTTCCTCAAAAGTCACTGATGATGGCACCTAAATGACAATAAACTGCAGTCACTCAAGCCCCTCACACAGGCACCCCTAACACTGACTGACTGAATGAATAAATAGAAGGGAGAAGACAGTGCTGGAGTCACTGTGGTCGTGACTCAGCCACGCTCAAGGAAGCAGGAAGATGAACTGTCAGGGCTGCTCCTTGGTTTGGAGCTGCTCAGCTGAACTGCTGAGAGGTTCCTTCATGAACAAATCTGTAGCTGCATTGAACATGTGAAGAATAATTAAAAAATAATAATTTGGTGTATGATAATATGGTAAAAAGGCCTCATGGCATTTTTTATGCACTCAGAGTAGCTGTATTTCCAGGCAGCTGACTAGGTTATCTCTAAAATAATTCAGGCTACATTACAGAATGCCAAGCCTGAAAGCTAAAGCATCATAAAAGCCAGTCTGGAATTCCTCCTGCTGTATGTGCAGAAGACATATCTGAAGCCAAACCCCCTGGAATTATCAGCCATCACACCCACCTAGCCTGCAGGTTAATTATAATTATTTAATTATTGTTAATAAAATGACTCTGAGCAGGGCTTCAGGCTCCCAGAGCCGACAAGAGGAACCTGTGGGTGAGGAAGGGGCTCAGAGCCCCTGCTGGGATGCTCAGGGCACAGGGCAGGAGGAGTTTGCTCTCTGCCACTCACTGCATTCTGAATGGGCACTGGGGAGAGCACCAGCAGGGGCCACCACCAAATTCTTCAAGCCACGAGGTCAGGACTGGCTTTGCTCAATGTTTCTTCTCACCACAGGTGGAATATCCTGCAGCAGGATATTAGAACAATCCCAGGTTGTTCAAATATTGTTCTGGGATTGCTCAGTCCCAGACAGAACAAACCCCACAGCAGTTTATTAGAGCAATTACAGATTTTGTTCAGATGGACTTAGTGCTAGAGGGATACTTAAGGGTATCATTAAGTGTGTGCCTTTTTAAAAATAACAGAGTAAACAGCAAGAAAAGAATATTTAACTTTGAAAAGTATTCAAGAAAAGTATTGTGTACTTGGGAAACTTGGAGAATGTTCTTATATATTGAGCATGTAATTATATTCCTTGTGATCAATGACTATGTCTGTGTACAGGATTTATCCTTTATTTTCTCCACTTAATGAAAATTGGATTTTTTTCCCTCCATATCCCAATTTCTTTCAGAACTATAATGTAGCCCAGGATTCCATTTTATAATCATGAATTTTTGAAGGAGCCTCGTTAAGGCTCCAGAGTAGTGATTTTCTGCACCAGTGAGCCTGCCTTTTTTCATTAACAGAGATTGATTTTCTCCATGCTGGCATGTGAGGTTCCAGGGTGTATCCTGTGCACCACCACCCTGCAATGTGCAGGGCTGTCGGCAGCTCAGGATGGGAATATTTCAGCTTTCACGTTACCAGGAGTAACAGCTTTGGATCCCCCGTGCGAGGAGCCTGAAGAGCTGGGATTTCCTGAGCCCCAGGAGCCTTTTGCTGCAGCAGTGGGAAAGGACAGTTACCTCAGAGCAATGCATTTTCATCAGAGGTAGCACATTTCCAGCCCCACGGTGCTGCCCAGAGCTCCCCTGTGAGAGGAGTGCTGGTGATGGCAGGGGAGCAGTGGTGTGTAAAATTATTTAGTGCAAAGCTTGTGAAGGGTACAATGGAGCCCAAGGAAGCAGCTGGATAACCAGGATCTCCAGAGAAAGATTTCAGGTTGTCACTGGGTTTTCTTTGAATCCATGAGAAAAGCACTGAAAAGAGCCCCTAATGATTCCCTTGACATCATTCCTTTGCACAGGAAACAAATGCACAAATTCAGGGGAAAACGCCCACAGTGAACCGAAGTAGAAAACATTAATTACAAAAACAGAGATTCAGAGGTGTGAATTTTGTTCATTACTCTTTTTCTACCCTTAGCAGTGACTCAGTTGAGCAAGTCTCCATCTTTGCCCAGGTTTTTAGAGGCCTTTAGGCCCATCAATAACCAGCTATTTCAAGCTGGCTGCGTCACCTCCGCGCTCTGCCCGTCAGGATGTGCAGCCTGGTGACCCCAGGGAAAGCACTCAGAGGCTGTAAACAAGGCTGGAATGTGACTGAGGCAGGAACTATGCACAATCATGTTATTGCTCCCCTGTCTTCTGGTGATGCTTCACTTCACAGCTGTGTTCATTAACCAAAGCATTCCTTAACTTATAGGGGCAGGAGAACTAAGATACAATACACAGAGAAGGAAGGCACTCTTCTGGTTACTGCAGAGGAAATGAATCCTGCTGGAAAACCACCTGCAATGGGGCTTAAAACTTCTGCAAGAGGCCCAGGAGTCCAGCTCAGAGATGTCAAACACAGGTCCCTGTCCTAACCCATCCCACCAAGTTCTGACATACAATGTACTTGGGATGAAGAAGGACTGAAGACCCACTTCACCCCAAATTCTTCTCTTGGACAGAAGAACTGCTTTACCCCAAATTCTTCTCTTGGACAGAAGACCCACTGCACCCCAAATTCTTCTCTTCTGATCATGTTTACCTTGATGATGCTGGAAGCACTGTAGAGGGAAACCTCTGCCACCACCTGAATGATCAATCTTATTTTAGCACATGCCAGTGCTTGCACCCACCCTGTTTTAACTTCTGCAGCTGCAGGAGGAGCCTCAGGTCCCTGGAGCAGCGCAGGCAGCTGCAGCAGGTGCTCTGTGTGCAGGTATCAGTGTGCAACAAACAGCCCGAGCCCACTGGGGCTGAGCATCACTCCAGCAGCCTTGGGGCTGTGCCAGCTGCTGAACCGTGCTCCCTCTGAAAACTACCAGAGAGCTCCCTTTCCCTCTCAGCAGGCTCTCAGCTCTCCCCAGAGCAGCCAATCCTTTTCATAATTTTCCTAAGCTCATTATCTCTGTTCCCTGCCACAGTGGCTTCCACAGGTGAATCCAGCACTGTGGAAAACATATTTAAAATGTGTCTGCTGTTGTTTTTTATCATAAGCACACTTCTTGTCTTTTTTTTTTTAAGCTTTCTACTCTCAGCTTTTAATTTTGGAAAACAGCACATAAAAGTACTCTGTGCCATTCATTACCCCACATCTCTCCATCGTGCCTCTGCTTATTCATCTCTTGTCTTAAATAAGCAGGCCTAATCTTTTTAAATCTCTTCTCATATGAAAGTTTCTCAGTGCCTTTAATCATTTTCATTACCCTTCACTGAATTATTTCTTTTTTTCCCTCTATCATCTCCAGAACTGAAACACAACATTTAAGAAGAGGCTGCACCATTGAGTTGCATAACAGAGGTAAGGTATTTTCAGACATTTGTCTTATGACAAAGTAAAATGGACTTTGTTGCTCAACCTCACTATTGAAAAGTTCTCTGTCTTTTCAGTTGTGTCTCTGATAAATATAGTCCAATTTTATGGTATTTCTGACCCTCTGATTAGTCAGTGTACCCAAGCTTAAATATTAAAGGAAGGGAGAAAGATGCAAAAAGCAGCTTGAACAGCTTTCTTCCCCAGAACTAGAGCAGAGAGCCCCAAAGATGCTAAGCAACCTACTTTATAACAAATCCATTATTACACAGAGAACCTGCCAGACACTGCAATCAGATTTCTAGCAGTTATAATTGACATCAAATCCTGGTATTGCCAAATCTCTCCAGCACAGCTGTTGAGCAGAATGTCTTCAACTTAAGGGTATCATTAAGTGTGTGCCTTTTTAAAAATAACAGACCTAAGTTGAAAAAAAATCCCTTTAAAGTGTGAGGATCATCTCCTGCTCTCAGTCACAGACAGCCCTTCATGCCCTTGTTCCCAGGGCCAAGCTCTGAGCCCACTGGCACTGCCTGGACATGGCCAGTGGCATCTGAGGGAGCAGAGAGCCAGAGCCCCAGCATAGCATGGTATGGCATGGCACAGTGCAGCCCAGCCCAGCCCAGCCCAGCCCAGCCCAGCCCAGCCCAGCCCAGCAGAGCCCCAGCATAGCATGGTATGGCATGGCACAGTGCAGCCCAGCCCAGCCCAGCCCAGCAGAGCCCAGCCTGGCTGGGGAGATGGAAGTGATCTCCTCTGGACTGACACCCCTGACTTCATGCACATTCATCTCAAAGGGCTGGAAAACAATGATCTAATCAGTGTTTGCAGCAAGCTCTACATCTCTCTGTTTAATTACAAGCAGGACATGACCCCTCCTGCAGTGGAAGCTCCTAAGTTCTGTGGAAAATCAAGAAAGCACACAGGGCTTTTTCTGTTCTGGGGAGGAGCAGCTGAACGGACAGGCTCAGAGCAAGGGGCAGTGCTGCTAGCAGGGGATGCTGGCTGTGCCAGCCTGCAGCCTGGCTGTGCCCGTGCAGCTGCTCAGCCCAGGGCACAGGGATCCCCTCTGCTCCCCGAGTGCCATCCTGTGCTGCCATGGCACAGCCTGCAGCACAGCCTGCGCTCTGCCCGGCCTGCCCAGCTCCAGCAGCTCTGCTGACGCTGGAGAAGGAGGGGGTCTGCACCAGAGGAAGAGCTCAGCTGCTGCTGAACGAGCTCTTTTTGTGCACACCAGCAATTGCCTCTGCTCAGTGACTGCGAGTGGAAGATAAATGCCAGCAGGAGCTGCAGAGCAGGATAATGCCACACTCCATCACACAGGCTCCTGCTGCTGTCAGCTGCACGGGCACAGCCAGCCCTGCCCTCTGCCCGTGGTGCCATCCTGGTGCTGTACTCAGCACACCTGGGTGCTCAGCACAGCTCTGTCCCTCCTGTGGCAGCCCCAGCCCTGTGCTGTCCCCACGCTGCCCTGGGCACAGCCTGTGCTGCAGCTGCTGCCTCAGAGGAGCCTCCCCTGCAGCAGCACTGCCAAACCTATTCTGGGAACCCCCTGGACAGCTTTGTAAAGAAATACGTGCAGCAGAGCTTTTGGACTGGGATTATATACTAAAACATAACACCAAACTAACAGGCCTATTAATTAATATTAGCCTATTAATATTAGGCTTTTATTCTGAAGCATTGCATTGCAAGCATAATTGTTAATATGGATAATGTCAGTGTTGGGAAACTTAAGCAGGATATCACACTCAACATAAGCAGTGACTCCTTCAGAACCTGATCCAAAAGGTATTGTAACCAAGGCAAATATTACCCGTGCCTTCCCTGCATTTTGGTTAGCTCCTAATGTTCAGGTAGCCTGCAAAGACACACAGACATCTTGCTTTAAGAAACCCAAGACATTTGCTATTTGTCACTATTAATTCAGCTCATGTAATACAAAGTGGAAATGTAAAAACTGAGCTTCATAACAATAATGTGAATGCAAGGAACTGGTTAGCTCCATCCTGACCAAAGCAGCACCTCTGTCTGACCAAATGGTAATGAGACCTTTTCAAATGAGCTTGATTTACTGAAACTGCTCCTTCATGCGTGCCATGGGTGGATGTTTTTCAAACCTCAGCAGACTGGCAGTGCCAGGGCATTGCTGGCAGCCAAGCCCTGCTTCATGCTGCTCCTTGGAATGTGTGCCCCCTCCCTGATGCTATTGCCCACATGGTGCTAAGGGCACCTCAGAGGGATGTCTGTCCTCTGTCCAGCAGCTCGCTGTGAGATCTGAGAGACTTCACACGGCAAAACCTTCAGTAACAAGGTAATAAAGGATGTGCAGGGGAGATGAGATACAAGAGTGGCCCTTTACTTGAGAGCTGATGCTGACTGGTGGAACACATTCCCCTCAGCAGGTGAAGGCCCCACCTACAAAGGGACACAGAACACAGCCTAAATCTCTCTCTGGAAATCACATGTACATGTCTTGTAAGCAATTTAAGTTTGGGGGAAGTTTTCCAGCACTTGTGTGTCCTCTTAACACGCCTCCACTCCAGCGAGGCAGAGAAGCCAAGAAACAGCCCTGACCTTCCAAGAGACAGCTGAGCACACAGATAAGCTCACGGAGCTCTGGCTTCTTTCTGCCACAGCGACAGGCACTTTGCAAAGGCCTGTCACTCGGCTGCTTTATGACTCCCTGCTGCCCCTGGGCTGTGTAAAAGATTACTCTGGAGCCAGACTTTTGGGAGACACCATGCTGCTGTTGTCTAAGCAGCAGAGGAGAAACAGGGCCCTGGTAAAACACTTGCAAACCTAATTTGAACTTGGAAGACACCCAAATGTCTCTGGGAGGTGCAATTTAAAACCCTAACCTAAGATAGCCTGGACTGCAATCACGGATTTCTGGGAATGCTGTGACACTTGCTCCAGCACTGCAGAGATCTGTATTATAACCTTTCCACAGGGGAGCTGTTCTGAGTTCTCTTACAGTGAAAAAATTAGAAAAACACCAAATTCAAACAAAGGTATGACCACTAAATGACTTGGACATGTACTCCAGCAAGTCTCTCAGGCTTCCTGAGAATCTGAGTCAAAGAACCCTTTCCATCTCCATCCCCATCCCCTGATAGTGCTGCCTGTTGAAGAGACAGGGAGCTCCCTGAAAGGATTTAGGAGGGTTTGAGTGAAATCTTTGTCCCTGAATCACACAAAAAGGTGAATGATGTGAGCACTTTGATTTGAGAACTTGTGTCTCTGCCTCAGAAAGTTTGAAGCACAGCTGAAACAAAGAACTGGCAGGAGATTACCAGACGCTGGGTACTGTACCACAAGGAGGAATCTGAGAGCCAGGCCCAGGTTTACATTGAAAACTACTGCTGTATTTTTCTTGAGGTATCTGAAGGGCCTGGGGTCAGCTCTGCCTCTGAGCTGTGGGTCCCTGTGTGCAGTCACAGCTGCTGCAGCAGCCAGGCTGAGCAGGGTGAAACCAGCCTGCAGTACAAGGGTGTCCATCACAAAAGGTGATGATCATCTTTCCCTTTCCCCACTGCCTGATCTCCCATTCCACTGCCACGGATCACTTCACTGATCCCTGCCCAGCCGGGTGCCCAGAGGGAGCAGCTCTCGTGTTCACAGCAACACCACCCGAAATTATCATCTTAGCAGGGGCTCCTGCACTTCCATTACAGTGCAGTGCTCTTAGAATTAGTCCTAGGTGGCTTTGCCTAGGATTAATTTGGTCTACAAACTAATTACTTTCTTTCTGCAGGTTATAACAGTTTGTCTGCTGGTCTCTTGTCTTTTTAAGCTCCTGCTGGTGAGATTCAGCTCTTCACTTCACTGTCTCCCACCACTGGATGCTTGTTACCAAAATCAGCTGCTGGCAGAGCTGCAAGCACAGCCAGGAAAGCCCGGAATGCAAACTGGAAAATGATGAGGAAGAAAAAGATTCATTTCTTCCCTGAGATTTTGCAAAGCCGTTACCTGTTTTTGAATGGCATTTCCAATTCAACACTGGGAACTGCTAAAGCATTTACATAAGAATGCAAAAATGCACACATTATCACTGCAGGAAGCACTTAAAATTTAAGATAATTATATAGTATGGAAACCATTTCAAAGGACTCAAACAAAATAACAACTAATTCTAGAGAGTCACCCTTTAAGATGATTATTACTCTGCACTGCCGCTGATCTCCCACTAAAAAAATCCTTCTTTACAATTATATACACATTATAAATTCCTACTTTGTTCTTCCACCATCAAGCTCCTACAGCTGCCACTGACAAATCTGCATTCTCTGAGAGCTTATCTAGACAACCGAAATGTCACGCTGGGAACAGAGGTGAAACACGGCACACGCAGGGTCGGGGCCGCCCTCCCTTCCCGGCTCTGCAGCACAGAGCATTCCTGGCAGGAGCCTGCCCTTCCCTGCCGTGCCATGAGCAGCAGCAGCAGCAGAACCCCACGCTGGGTCAGCAGCAGGGGGATCCCCAGGAGCCTGGGGCAGCCCCTGGGCCCTCATCCCCTGGACCCGGCTGCTGCTCCTCATCGGTGCAAGGTAACAGGGAGCAGGAGGAAAGCATTCTGCCAGCTGCTGTCCCACCGAAAGATCCCACTTCAGCTGCAGAAAGCTGGCGTGGCAAGGGAGGAGCACGCCGGTGAGGTGGAGCTGCCTCTCTCCACCTCCTGCTCCCACTCCCCATGCCGCTCTGCCTCCTGCCCCACTGCTGCCGTTCTTTGTCTTTTCCACAAGTGTCCCAGGGAAAAAAAATAAAACAGTCTGCCTAGCTCTATTGCTCAAAGCAAACTCATCTGGGGAAAAACTTATCTGCCAAAGCCTAATATGTTTTTATTGGATATCTGCTAAGAGAGATTTACAGAAGCTCATGCCAAAGTCAAACTACTTTTTTTTTTCCCCACAGCAAGGGCAAAAGTACAAACTGAACTCAGAGCAAATGAAATTTTCTTGTCTCAGCTATTATGGAGACTTAACAAAGTCCCACACCAAGTCTCTGACTTAATGGACAAGAGAAAGTGTTTTCTGAGTCTAATTATTGGAAATAACTGCAGTGAAAATAGCTGGAACTTTCCCACAAACTTCAGCCTGAGAAAGAAAACACATACATTTAAAATCTTGTATTTGGACAAAGTCCAGAGTAAATTAAGCCAGTATCTGGTAATGGGAGGTACAGCCAGCCCATGAATAGGTGTGTGCTGCTGCAGGTTTTCCACACAACTGTCTCAAACCAAGCAAAGCACTGGAGCTCACTGCTGTCACCTCTCAGTGTTGCAAAAAGCCAGAAGAGCTGTGCCCAGGGATGGTGTGGGTGTGATCTGTGGTCAGCACCCGCTGACCTTTCAGGGCTCAGGGACAGCCTGGGAGCTGAGCACTCCAGAAGCAGCAGAGCACTCACTGCAACGCCAGCTCTGCACTCAGCAGTGACTGCACCTGTGGGAAGCCATGAATGGCTGCACTCATTGTGACAACGAGCACTACTAAATAATAATCACATTTCCACATTGAAGTGTGCATCGAGAAAACAGTTTTGAAGAGATTCACCTTCCCTGCTCCCAGCAGCTGCAGCCAGTGTGATGCAAGAATGCCAAGGACTGAATTATTTCTGCAGACAGGAAAATGATTTATATATTTTTAAATAAATAATGTGATTTATGTAAAAAAGGCTTATAACCTAAGAATTGAATGATGTATAGAGTAGTTCATCATTGGGGTTTTAATATGATACCTCTAAAATATGCATACAGGTCAGTGATTTACTAATAACCTACTCTTACAACACAGGCACACAGAGATGCAAAGCACAACAGGCTTAAACTCCTTAAACCCCCAATTTCCATTCTCACTGCTATATAAAAATAAAGAAGTATTTAAATTAAGTTGGTTTTATTATCCCTTTTTAAGTCTTAATCCATCACTGGGCTACCTTCTACCACAGCACATAAATAAATCAGCCTTTCATTGCCAGAGACCTTTACAAGACTGTTGTTGTTCATTTACTTTTAGTTTTCTGGGTATGCTGGGCATATCCCAAGCATGCAAAAAGGATCTACTTGCCCTAAGATAAAAAAATAAATATGATAAAGATGAAAAAACATTCATCAGAGGCAGCAGGAAATGAGGGGAGCAGAGCAGGGCAGAGGGCAGCAGTGATGTCATGCTCAGAGTGAGTTTGAGAAGGAAATCCTTGGAGCTGGAGTGCACCCCAGAGCCAGAGCAGCTCAGCCCTGGGAGTGAGCTCCTGGCAGTGTGCAGTGCTCCAGGAACGTCCTGCTGCCTCCTCAGCACGCCGGGCTGCCCGTGTCTGCTCGGGGCTGCCCGTGTCTGCTCCTGCCTGCCCGTGTCTGCTCGGGGCTGCTCCTGCCTGCCCGTGTCTGCTCCTGCCTGCCCGTGTCTGCTCGGGGCTGCTCCTGCCTGCCCGTGTCTGCTCCTGCCTGCCCGTGTCTGCTCGGGGCTGCTCCTGCCTGCCCGTGTCTGCTCCTGCCTGCCCGTGTCTGCTCGGGGCTGCTCCTGCCTGCCCGTGTCTGCTCCTGCCTGCCCGTGTCTGCTCGGGGCTGCTCCTGCCTGCCCGTGTCTGCTCCTGCCTGCCCGTGTCTGCTCGGGGCTGCTCCTGCCTGCCCGTGTCTGCTCCTGCCTGCCCGTGTCTGCTCGGGGCTGCTCCTGCCTGCCCGTGTCTGCTCCTGCCTGCCCGTGTCTGCTCGGGGCTGCTCCTGCCTGCCCGTGTCTGCTCCTGCCTGCCCGTGTCTGCTCGGGGCTGCTCCTGCCTGCCCGTGTCTGCTCCTGCCTGCCCGTGTCTGCTCGGGGCTGCTCCTGCCTGCCCGTGTCTGCTCCTGCCTGCCCGTGTCTGCTCGGGGCTGCTCCTGCCTGCCCGTGTCTGCTCCTGCCTGCCCGTGTCTGCTCGGGGCTGCTCCTGCCTGCCCGTGTCTGCTCCTGCCTGCCCGTGTCTGCTCGGGGCTGCTCCTGCCTGCCCGTGTCTGCTCCTGCCTGCCCGTGTCTGCTCGGGGCTGCTCCTGCCTGCCCGTGTCTGCTCCTGCCTGCCCGTGTCTGCTCGGGGCTGCTCCTGCCTGCCCGTGTCTGCTCCTGCCTGCCCGTGTCTGCTCGGGGCTGCTCCTGCCTGCCCGTGTCTGCTCCTGCCTGCCCGTGTCTGCTCGGGGCTGCTCCTGCCTGCCCGTGTCTGCTCCTGCCTGCCCGTGTCTGCTCGGGGCTGCTCCTGCCTGCCCGTGTCTGCTCCTGCCTGCCCGTGTCTGCTCGGGGCTGCTCCTGCCTGCCCGTGTCTGCTCCTGCCTGCCCGTGTCTGCTCGGGGCTGCTCCTGCCTGCCCGTGTCTGCTCCTGCCTGCCCGTGTCTGCTCGGGGCTGCCAGCAGCACCTCCCAGCGCTCAGATGTTGTTCCCTCACGAGCACTTTCACCAGGAAGGAAATGAAAACCCAGCTCTTCCACGTTCTGCCCAAGGCCAAGGAGGAATTTATTGCCCAGCATGGATGAAAACCCCAGAACACCTCTTGCACCACTGGTGGTTTTAGTACAGATTTTGCTGTCTCTGCTGGCTCCACCGAGCTCTCGGCAATTGAGGGCAGGGTGAGTCTGGAGGCTCCTGACCTGTTTGTTCTTAAACCTGTGAAGTGCCCTGAGCCAGCCCCAGTACCTGCACTCTCCTTACCCCTCGTGCTGCTTTGCCAAAGCTGTATTTTGTCTCTTTCTGCACATCAGAAGGGAGCTGGGCTGCACCAGCAGCAAGGTGCTCCCCGGGCTCAGAAACCAGCGACGCACCCTGCACGAGGAAGCTCCTCCATGGCCTGGAAAGGAGTCCTGGAGTGCTGGGGGGAAAGCAGAGGGAGGAGCTGCTGCTGAGCACTGCTCCAGTAAAACACGGCATCACCAGCTGCCCGCTGCACCAGTTACAGGCTGTAGCTACAAGTAAGTCAAGTACTTTGTTTGTGTAATTACAGGGAACTGATCCCTGGGGGTCATACAAATAATTCAGTATACTAGCTAAAAATGAGCTTTCTGAGAACATTTACACTACTATAATCTGATGGGATGCAGAATTCTGGAAAATAAATGCCAAAGGGGATGAAAAAACAGCTAAAGCTCATTTATTTTTTAAATCAGATTAATATTAGCTCTTTTTTTGGTGTGTATTTGCTCAGCTTTAAGGAATAGCCTCTCTGCTTCTTTGTTGCTATTTGTTTTTCTTGGGCAATGTATCCCAACCTGAGGAACTGTACGGGAGGCTCAGCACCAGTGCCAAGGAGTGAAAGGCAGGTATAATAAAGCCACACTGCACACTACATGTGGGAGGCTCCTCTGTCCATCAGCCCTTCCAGGAGCTTCTGAAAAATAACCCCTGATATTAAACTGATCACCTTGTGTCAAATGGCAGAGTGACAGCAGAGAAAATTTACCTGGGTAATAACTCAGCCATAGAGGTACGTACAGGAGGAGGAAATGAGGCTGCTGCAGACACAGCAATAACACCGTGAGGCAAAATCCAATATTGGAAGAGATAAAAGTTTTCCATCCCAATATTCCTCTGTGACAAGTAAGAAAGAGTATGCATAAGAACAAGGGGAAAAGATGAAAGATAGCAGCAGAACAGGCCTTTGAGAGGGGAGCTACAGGTAATGAATGTCTGCACAGAGAGCAGGTGAGAAGGGCAGGGCTGGGGGCTCAGTACCCTGCTCAGCTCTGTTCAGCCCTGCTCAGCCCTGCTCAGCCCTACTCAGCCCTGTTCAGCCCTGCTCAGCTCTGTTCAGCCCTACTTAGCTCAGCTCGGCTCAGCTCAGCTCAGCCCAGCTCAGCTCATCAGCCCAGCCCTGCTCAGCTCAGCTCTGTTCAGCTCAGCTCAGCCCAGCTCAGCCCAGCCCAGCCCAGCCCAGCCCAGCCCAGCCCAGCCCTGCTCAGCTCAGCTCTGTTCAGCTCAGCTCAGCCCTGCCCAGCTCAGCCCTGCCCAGCTCGGCTCGGCTCAGCCCCGCTCAGCTCTGTTCAGCCCAGCTCAGCTCGGCTCAGCCCTGCAGGGACCCCTTCCCAGGGCTGCTCCCACCCCACCCCACGCCACCCCAGCAGGCTGGAAGGGCCAGGCAGGGCTGGGCTGGCAGGGCTGGCAGGCGAGCCAGGAACAGAATGTGTGCCACTGGCATGTTTCCTAACAGCCCTGACAGATCTTAATAAGCAAGCTATTCTCCAGCTTTGATTTGAGGTGTATATAATTAGGTAATGTGGGTGTTGAGTGATAAAACCCACAAGAAATACACAAATTAGAAGCACAGATTTTTTTGAAACCATGGCCTGTTTCAGACTAAGTGGCATGACCTATTTTTTATTGTATTATTATATTTGGAAAATAAAAGGAAAACTTTTCTGTTTCATCTCTTCTTCAGCATAGGAAAGATTGGGGACAAATGATACTGCTCTTTCAAGTTCTCCTCTTTCAAAACTTAAGAACCTTTATTTGTCATTTGATTTCTTTTACTTTCTTTTACTTTTTTATTTTCTTTTTCTTTTACTGGCTTCTTCCTAGAAGATATGAGATCTATCTAGATTTTCCAGTAATCACTTTCAGTTAAGTATTTCTCTATTCCAGACTTGAGTAAGACCAGGGAAAGCCAGAAATATTCCAGGACTGCTGACCAAAAGCAAGAACTGACAATGGATTTCAAGAATGTCCTTTTGAAGGGAATACAGCTGCTCAAAACAAAAGGATCCTCTGTGAATTTTTGGGCAGGATCTTTCCATGGGTCTGAAGGTGAAGTATCCAGTACAACTTTCTGCACAGCCTCAGGAGTTCCTGCTCCTCACTGTCACCACTAATGGGCTGAGCAGGGGATCAATACAGCAACTGCACAAAATACATATTTCTGTCTATCTCAGGAACTGAATCAATTCCTTTTAAAAGAAGGTAGATTATCTTAATTAAATTTATAACTTGAAGGCCTTTGGTGTGCAGGACAATGTCTTGTTCCAGTATCTTCACCATCTTTCATGCAGGCCTCCAGTGGGCACCAACTCATGAATTGCCTTTTTTAGAGCACGTTATCATCCCTCCATCATGGGAATGTTATGTAATGGCCCATCCTTATCTCTGCTGCCTGCTGTGGACAAAGCCCAGCGTTATTATTTCCCCAAAATCCAGCCAGCAGGGCTGAGCAGGGCTGTTCCTGAGCCACTATAAACACACATCTCCCAGAGCTCCTGTCCTGCAGTCCCAGAGCTCTGGGCAGCCCCTCCTGCCCTGCCCCTCTGTGCCATCCCAGCTGGGCACAGCCTGCCCTGAGCCCTCCTCAGGCTTCTCCCCAAAACTCACTCACCTCTTTCTGCATCATGGTAAGCTACAGCCGATAAAAACAAACTTATCCCATAGGAAACACCAGACTACGAAACCTGTCCTTATTTCACATCAGGATGAAACACACCAAAACCCTGTATCTTTTCACAACACAAAATATTAGAAATCATCTTCTGATACTCTTTAAATGCTACATTTAGGCTATTATACAACTAAAGACTGAAATTGCCATTTTGAAATGGGATTTTTTTAGTCATAAGAGTAGTATTTTCATGGACTTTTCTCAGAAATTTTAGAAATCAAAACTTGTAGCTTTTCTTCTGGATCCACCCATCTATCTCCCAGCTTTCTCTCCTGAAACCTACCTTCCTGAAGTCTTTGTTCATCCTTATGCATGAACAGCCCTGTTCTGCAGATGGCTTCATACAGCACCTCACCCAGAGCATCCCTGATCCTGGCTCCCCAAAGATCTCAGAGCTGTCATCCATTCAAATTCATAATAGCAGTGATTAATAGGAATAAGAATATAAAGCCAGCAGCAACAGGAGCTTAGTGGAAATGCTATACTTTTAAATGAAAGCTGATTAGACTCAGCTGTTCCTTCTGCCTAACACTGAGCTGTGATACTTCTTGATTCCATCTGCTTTACTGCCTGGCCTCTTGTAGGGAAAAGATCATTTTTATTTTTATGACTGGGAAGGCAAAGGATCAGCATTTTTAGTGACCCTCGAAGCTGTAAGGACTCAGGAACAGGCATCGTTACCAAGAATCTGCCCAAAACTTCCCTTTATATTTCACTGCCTTTTGACTTAACATGCGATTGCAGGTGTGGAGAACCTGGTGAGTCCCCATGTCCCTCTGCTGACACATCCCCAGACCCAGAATTGAAACCTGCACAGCATCTGCCCAGGTGAGCTCTGCCCTGGCCGTGCCTTCTCCTGGTCCCACCCAGAAGGTTGCAAATGTGCCCAGAGGCTCAGTGTGAGAACTGCAGCCCCTTCTGGCTGTCACCAGGGTAAA